GCATCACGGTTTCCACACAAATATGAAGCAGCAATAATAATAAATGTTTCTTGAGCAATTGCAGCCGTGCATTCGGTTTTAAAGGGACAGCAGCCTAATTTACTTGCTATTGTCCGAGTCATTGATGTTAATCAAGCAACAACAGATCATCATGCACTGCTCTTGACTGAAAAATGCATGTTGTGTGTCACCGCAGTTAAATCGGTGTCTATCATGATAAAACCTTAATATTAAACCTATATAATGAGTTTGGACATTTTAGAGAAATGCTTAAAAAGGTCATATGATGTTGCTAAAAAGAACATTATTTTGTGTATTTGGTGGAATGAAATGTGTTTATGCAGTTTAAGGTTTAAAAAACACATTATTTTCCACATACTGTACATTATTGTTTCTCCTCTATGCCCCGCCTTTCTGAAACGCATTGATTTTTACAAAGCTCATCGGTCTGAAAAGCGAGGTGTGCTCTGATTGGCCAGCTATCCAGTGCGTTGTGATTGGCCGAATACCTCAAGCGTGTGACGGAAACTCACAGCGTCACACACGTCGGGCTAGAGTGAGCGGCGGCGGGCTTGAGAACGGCGCGGCTGGCGGATTCGACGTAGGAGCGGTCAGCGGGCTTTTGTTTTGGAAGGCCAAACAAAGTAGTTTCGCTTTCACAAAGAAACACAGTGACTTCACGACATTGCAGCGGCGGCAACAACAATACTATACAGCGAGAATAAAAGTTACGCCTTCTTTCTTTGCGTGAACATTTGGGCGGCATTATGCAAATCTTCCCACATCGTGACGTAGACATGTGTGGGCGTGTTAGAACGAGCCGTTTTAGGTAGGCGTGGTTGGCTCTTAACTTTTGTAAAGAACATCTCTTTGGATTTGAGACTTTAGTCTTTGCAACATTACAGATCTTCTTTATGCACCAAGAGCTTGTGACACTCCAAAGAGAAAGGAAAAATTTTCATCACATCATATGACCCCTTTAATAAATGCACTGTAACTAACCCTTTAGATTTTAGCCGACTAAATTTACTGTAGATTGTGAAATTTACTTGTAGATGTAGACTAAAACTAAAAACAATTCAGATGACTAAAATATGACTAAAACTAAATGGCATTTTAGTCAAAAGACTATGACTAAAACTAAATCAAAATTTGCTGTCAAAATTAACACTGGCATGTAGAATGGCAGTATATTTATAAAACTATGGATTCATCAAATAATCCTGGAAAAAATGTATCAACGTCTGAAGGATCATGCAACACTGAAGACTTAGTCTGTATGCGTAGTCTGTATTTTTACTGTATTTTAAATGAAGCCTTGGTAAGCTTATGAGACTTCTTTCAAAAACATTTAAAAAAATATTGCTAATTAGAAACTTTTGAATGGCAGTGCATATTCATTCAATAGAATAGAATAGAATAGAATAGAATAGAATTTGTAATTACATTAATATATACATATATATAAATAAATGTATAAATATGGAGAAAGATGCTTACAGAGTGTGTATGTACAGAGAGTATATGTATGCCATCTAATAGCAGGGGTTAACAGGTTAACCTTGGCCCCTTGGTGCACTCACCCACACTCAACCTCATTTTTCCCCTGCCATCTCTCTTTCTATGCACCAAAGGCTTGGGTAATGAACAGACCCCTGACAACGGCAGTAAGGGTTCTGTTACTTTTCAAGAATACATTGTTATAATAGACCATATTTGGTTAGTACCTAGTTTCCCTGTGCTATTCCAATCATAAAACCGCAATTGGAAACCTAATTTTTTTTAACAATGGCTTACTAGACAGTAAGAAAAATCATGACAGGCTCTTAAAAAATTACACAGGTTTGCTACATGTAGCCGCTAGTGGACGCCTCTCTGCATGAAAGATTAGATGAATGCAGATATATTAAAATACATATAAACATGCCAATGACATTAGTGCTCACGTGGGAAGCACACCACCTGCAGTCATCAATCATATCAGGAAAAGAGAAGCCCTGACTTACTGGATTAAATCTAAAATAATGGAAAGCATTATCCATCAGTCATGCCTTGAAAAAACAATGGATCCGTTTCCATAGGGATCCATTTCAAGGCCAGACTCAAGGGAACACTCGGAGAAAATCGAAAAACACTGTCAAAACCAATTCACTCAGCAAAATCAACTAATATGTGGGGGCACTAGCACTACTTAGTAGGGTCTCTTGGTAATCTATACTGTTACAGAAAGTGCATGGGTCACTATCGTATCAAAACAACTAAATTACAAAGGTGTCATATCGTCATATCACCCGTTTAAACAATGTGTTTTACTGAGAAAAAACAAGATTTGGTTTTTAAAAAGCCTTTTTCCAAAAGGAACATCTGGAAAAGGGGGGGGGGTCGTCTTATAATCAGGGTCATCTTATATTCGGGACAATACGGTATATGTCAACATTCTGCGTTATTTTTTCAAGCCAAACACTGGGTTGAGACTGTTGGGTAAGGAAGAAGCTACGTTAATGTGACCCAATTTAGTTTGATAATTGTTCATAATCATTAACCCAACAATGCTGGGTTGGGAATGCGGACGTGAAAGAGACCATGTATGTCACACTCAAATGCAAGCGGTTCAGTGTGCGGGAACTGAATAAGTGGGAATGGCGCTTAAGGTGATTGATTAAGAGTTAGTGTGTTCATTGACAAGAGAAAACTAAATAACTGGACACATTTCTTCTTAAACTAAAACTATTCAATGATTAACTTTTAAAAAGCAATTTCGTTTAACTGTATAAGCTGTATAACTGTTGAGTTGCCTCACATACATGAAGTTTTACTTTTGCCTATGTGTTTGTACATTTGTGGATGTTCTTGCTTATCAATTGTGACGAGTGGGGGCGGGGCCGAGAGCCGTGGGAACGGAGCGAGGCCGGTGGAGTAATTGATAATGAGCGACACCTGCACCACTCACCGGTCTCGAGTCTCACGGAGGAGCTCCGGAAGGATAAAAGGGAGGAGTGACGACCGTGTCGGACGAGAGAGGACCAGGCCTGGAGTTTATTTTGTGTTTTGGTTTTGTTTGTGCGCGACAGTCGTCCGCGAGGGGCTGTCGCGCTATTTTGTGTTTGTTTATTTTATTAAAGTTTGTTTAAATGTCCGCCGGTTCCCGCCTCCTTCTTCCCGTGACTACGAACTTTGTTACATCAATAAATTTTCACCTTTTGATATTATTGTTTCCTGTGTTGCTACTGTAGTGATTCAATCACACAGATTTTCATTTCTATTTAATTTCCCATTTCGGGTTAATTTGAACTCAGTACAGTAATTTTTCAACAATAGTTGAGCTAAATAAAACAGCCCAACATGATGGGTCAAACATTTAACCTAACACTTTTTGACCCAGTGCTGGGTTGCCAAAATGACGTTTTACTTAAACTGTCTTGGAGTCATACATGCAATAAAAAAAATGTGACCGAACTACAAAACCAATTCTCATTCAAGCAAAAAAGCACTGAACTCTTCTGTTTCAGATGTATTTTTCTATTTACTGTATTTATGTATACAGTGTATTTCCTCACTATAAACCCTAGCTATCGCTTTACAGTAAATTTCCATTAACATTAATAAACATTGTTAGTTTATATAATGCTTAACAGATCAGTACAATACTATGCCAACACTAAAACTTATCTGAACAATCCAGAAGCGCAGTTTATGCATGTGTGACATCACAGTAAATTTTGACACATAAAACTGTAAATATTGCAACAGTCAGTAGTAATATGACAAAAAGATCAAACTTATTCTCGACTCGGTTCCGATTCTGAAATTCACTCTTACAAAAAAGAAAAACTGTCAGGCAGTGGTTCTTGCCCTTTTTTACTCAAATGACCCGCACTGTTCTATACAGCAGTGTTTCCCAACCTTTTTTTAGTCGCGGCACCCTTTGGAAATTTTAACAAACTTGTGGCACCCTACAAAATTTATTTTGTCACAATATTTGAATTTCTAACACGCATAGAGCGGGATAACGGATAATACGCAGAGCGTCACACCACGTGAAAGTGAAACCTGAGCGGTGAACTAATTTTCGGCAGCCGAAATTTCGGTGCATCTCTAATTATTTGCGACATTAGAAATGGATATTATATAATAGATGCTTTTTTGAACATTTTAGCAATTTAAAAATATTAAACAATTATTTTTTACACGGCACCCCTGCTCTCGACAGACGGCACCCCGGTTGGGAAACACTTCTATACAGTATTCCCTCTCCCCCTATATAGGCTATGGAATTTCAGCTATAATCATGACAAATTAATTAATGTAATTAACATAATTATGTAATTATGACTAATTTTTTTACAGAAACCGGAAGTACTGATATTATATTAAATTAATCAACCATGATTTATTTTGTGATTCCAGAAATTTCTAGGAATGCTATGTTCTTCAATAAAAACAACACTTATTGACGATGGGGCAATATATGAATGCAGTTTAGATTTTAAGTGTTTTTAGCATTTACATTAAGATTAGAGTACAATAAGTCATCCTGCGATCCCACTTAAAGTTTGCTAAAACACTTTGGTTAAGAACCACCAGTCAAAGGACTTGGCTTAAGTCAGCTAACTTTCTGTAAATAAACAACAAAACAATAACAACAAAATTTTGTCAGCTTAAAATGTCAAAGACAGAGGTTCTCGACCTTTTTTTACTCAAATGACCCACATTATTCAACACAATATTCCCTCTCCCTCCACACAAGCCTATGGTATTTTGGGTATTTCATCTGTAATTATAACAAAGCTACTTTTTTTAACTAACAGAAACCGGGAGTATTGATGTTATGTTAAATTAATCAATCATGATTCCTAGAAGTTTGCTTAAGTCAGCTAACTTTCCGTCCAGTCCAGCTGACAGAGCATTTCAATTGCATACTGTGAGGAAAAAGGTGGTTAAGAGAAGATTATTAATTTTCAGGAGTACATGGTAGATTAAATTCTGATTAAAAGAACTACCTGATATACATGATAGGCGTTGGCAGCTCGACCTTGAAGGAACACAGACGGGATCCACACGTTGACAAGGGCACGTTGAGTTCTTAGAGAGAAAAGGAAGGAGAAAACAAATGGGGAAAGTCTAGTTAGAGGACCTCAACAGAGGAGTAATTTAGCAATAGATTAGTGTAGCTAAGATACTAACAAACAGAGGGAAAAAATGACAAATATTGACACCATTAGTCATTACTCTAAAGAAACAACCTTTTACTTGACACACAAGTTTAACATTGTATGCCTTTTCTTCAGCCATTTTTAATGACTGACATCTTCTCATGTACAAAGGTTATAGCTGTGTGGAAGAGGTGCATGAAGGCTCTAAATGTAAAAACAGAAGCAGCATTCAACCTCCCTATTTTTAGCTTAGTCTTCTCTGTCAGATCGGAAGCATCGCTTTATGGAATTCCATACCATCGATTTGATTCTCAAAAGAGGCTCGCTGTACACCACCTCCAACATAAATACATACAAATATAAAAAGAACAGTGAGTAGGAGGCCACTTACGTCTCGAAGTCAGATAGGCTGGGATCGTCAGAGGTCTGGCTCAGGTCCCCTGGCACCTGTCCAAAAGCAGAGCACATGAGGCCATAGTGAGCGTTTCGTTTTGTGTCCAGCTGAGTTTGCTGATTAACACTGTACTGCTGCATAAACTTCCAAACCAGCTACATTCTGTAGTTTACTTTCCATTCTGCTAACAGCATGACAGTCCAGTAATATTTACTGAAAAAAATGCATTTGGACCCAAGTCAAATTTTGGAACTGTCATTTGCAACTCATTTTACTTTCATAATATAGCATGTTTCTGAATGAAACAAGACATTCAACTTGTTTCACTTATTCACTGTATGCATCAGGAATTGATTGAATCGTGAAAAGTAAAAAAAAAACATATACTCATTATAACAATGAACATGCCTTGATAGACTGATTTAATTGATCCGTCTTAACAAAACAGATATAAATACAATCCATTATTTCTGCATTATAGGCAAATACAGTATAATAAATAGTCTTAGTCAAGCAGTAAAAAAAACTCCTGTTCAGAAGTTTGGAGTCAGTAAGATTTTTTTTTTTAAAGAAAATAAGAATTTTATTCAGCAAAGATGCATTAAATTGATCATAAGTGACATTAAAAATGTATTGTGTTACAAAATATTTTTATTTTAAATAAATGCTGCTGTTTTTAACTTTCTATTCATCAAAGAATGCTAAAAAATTTTTTAAAAGGTTTCCACAAAAACATTAAGTAGCACAACTGTTTTCAACATTGATGACACGGAGAAATGTTAACTGAGCATCAAATCATCATATTAGAATGATTTCTGAAGGATCGTGTGACAATGAAGATTGGAGCAATGGCTGCTGAAAATTCAGCTTTGCCATCACAGGAATAAATTACATTTTGGAATATATTAAAATAGAAAAGTTATTTTAAATTGTAACATTATTTCACAATATTACTCTATCTATTGTATTTTTGATCAAATAAATGCAGCCTTGATAAACAAAAAAAAAATCAATTTTTCAAAAACATTGAATGTTTTTACTTATCAACCTCAAATTTTATATAACTTATAAATGTATATACAACTTTGATAAAAACCACTTGCCCTAAACAAATTTAATAAAATATAAAATCACAAAGCTATTTTAGTGTACTGTAATGCTGATGGAAAATTACTGTGCTACTCAGATAACCTATTAGTCAATGACTGCACATTTAGCCCTCATTCCTGAAAACACTCAAGCCCAACCAGGAACAACACTCTAATCCTATTTGAGTGTGCATCTTATCTCGTGGTGAAACTGTGGTAATGTCAGCATTTACAGGGGTCACAGGCTACTGCATCTTGGCAGTCAGTGGCACCAGAGAGGAACGGGCACATGAGCTATGGAGGCAAGATAAACCATCCACCGTATACAGTTCAGCACAGTTACAGAAGGCCATGGTTCAAAGCCACTGCCGTCAGATGTATCAAAAAGTAATCAGTGGCCAACAGATAAGCAGTGAACGGAAAAGAGCACACTGTGACCAAGTGTGCCACTAGAGACAGACTGGTCAAATTAAATGGACACTTCATCCAAAAAACAAAAGCTTTGTGGAAGGAAAAAAAAATGTAATCGTTATTCACTGAACATTTTCCCCTGCCAAAGCTCTTAAAGGGGTCATATGATGCTTTTTTAAAGATCATTATTTTGTGTATTTGGTGTAACAGAATATGTTGACATGCTTTAATGTTAAAAAAACACATTATTTTTCAAATACTGTACATTATTGTATGTCCCGGCGTTATGCAAATCTTCCCACATCGTGAGGTAGATATGTGGGGGCGTGTGTTAGAACGAGCCGTTTTAGGGGGGCGTGGCAGAGTCTTAACTTTGATAAAGAATATCTCTTTGGTTTTGAGACTTTAGTCTTTGCAACTTCAGGGATCTTATCTATGCACAATCAGCTTGTAACACTCCAAAGAGAAAGGAAAACTTGAAATCGCATCATATGACCCCTTTAAATCTCATTGAAATTAAATTTTAAAAATCTGTTCTGTTTTTCACACAAAGCTTGGCTTCAGAAGACTTGGAAGTGCATATTGCAAATAATATAATAATATAACATAACATAACATAATATAATAGTGGGTGTTTACGCCCTTTTTTGAAGCTTGAAAGCTCTCTCAATATTGTTGTTTGGAAAGAGCAGTGAAGTGATTCATCAGCAATTTTGTGTCCAACAAAAATAACAACAGCATATAGATGTACAGGGTGAGCAGTAGGGCTGGGCTGACAATACTGAATAACAGATCTTAATCGATCTTTATTTTGATGGACCAATATCGATACTTAAAATGAAATGAAAATTCTGTCATTATTTACTCACCCAAAGAAAACAAAAATAACGACTTTATTCAACAGTTTCTTATCTTCGTGTTGCATTCATGAGAGTACCACGACGCATGCGTGTGATGAAGCTGCTGATGCAGGAGCCGGCGTTCTGACAAGGCATTCCTTGTAAAGCAGAGGAATGCACACGCATACGTCGTGGTACTCTTGTGAATGCAACACGGAAGAGAAAAAAATTGTTGAATAAAGTCATTATTTTTGTCATCTTTGTGCACAAAAAGTATTCTCGTAGCTTCATAACATTACGGTTGAACCACTGATGTCACATAGACTATTTTATCAATGTCCTTACTTCCCTTCTGGGCCTTGAATGTGGTAGTTACGTTGCTGTCTATGCAGGGTCAAAAAGCTCTCGGATTTCATCAGAAATATCTTAATTTGTGTTCCGAAGATGAACAAAGATCTTACGGGTTTGGAACGACATGAGGGTGAGTAATTAATGACAGAATTTTCATTTTTGGGTGAACTATCCCTTTAAATCTCAAAAGTCAATCTTTTAATCTGTGCTGGTTTCTGTTGATGCGTGAAAAAAAAACACTCGAAAAAAAAATCTAGAGAACCATTTTGATATATACAATATTTTAGATATTCATTACATGTTTAATTAACCTGTTAGCAGGGATGCTCCGATCGATCGGCCGGAGATCGGTATCGGCCGATAATAATATTTTATGACTCGATCGGTATTCACCAACTTGGCCGATCTCAGGAACCGATCGCAATTTGATGACGTCAACGCGTGACGACGTACATGATGCGTGGGGACCTTTTTATACAGTCTATGGTGGGGACATAAATGATTTCGCGCCGCAGTCATGTCATCGCTGGTGTGGAAATGCTATGACGTTTCAAGAAACAATGAAAAATTCGCTGATTTTTTTTTTATCTTTTTAAAGTGAAAGTGACCCCAAACTTTTAAACAGTAGTTCAACAGTAGGTCAGGCCACAACTTCTAGCGGGAAAAAAAAAAGAAACATGGGTTATGAAAACTTGGGAGCCTCATTTTCATTCACGTCACATTATTCTGTCTGCTCTGAGGTCCATGAAGCTGAGATGATTCACTCTTATTCAGCCTTCAGTTTAAAGAGATCATTTCATACTTCACCCTCAGAAAAGTGAAGGCCAAACCTTGGCGTCTGAAAATATAAATGGTTTAACTTGCTGTGTTGTTTACATTGAAATGTCGAGGGCAGAATGTATTTAAAACATCACAGCCAGTCTCATCATTTCCATGTCGCCTCATCAAAGATTCCCCTTCAGAGGAGGATTGTAAAATGTTTCATTGTGCACACTTTTGACAAGGTTCGAGTGAAAATTAGCAAAGGCAACGACAATTGATACTAAGCAGCTGCTGTCTGGCAGTGAAGTTGATGGCGCGATTATTAGTCTTGTGAGCAATAAACACATCAGAAGTGCAGAATGAATCATGGGACTTCACAGATGGCCTGTTCATTATTCAGCCACATTTCTGCCTCCGCCAGCCTCAGCCACATGGAGTACAAACGTATGGATTGAGTGCATCAGACTGAATCACAACTACATTCAGTTAGCGGAGAGATGATTCAGCTGCATGAGACGCTAATCGAATAATGATTCATTTCACAAAGAGCTTCTGCTGCCATTGTGTTTGTTACTGAGTGAGAATGCATTAAGTGCAGAGAGGGATATGAATGACCGTTCAGCATTTTGTTTATTTGGTGTGTCTTCTAGTTTTTATGACTAGATTTTCTCTGTGGTCTGTTTTCATTTAGGATAATTACCTCAAATTATTTTGTTTTGTTTTTTTCTTTAATTGGAACAATACGGAGTCAGAAGAAACTGGATGTTGTAGTTGGATGACAGGATATTGCTATGTGTTTGCTGGGGCGTTGTAGGCGGTTACTTGCTTGCCTGAGTTTTCTTGAAGTTTCTGTGATATTACATTACACATTTTTTCTATTATTGTCTGTCCATTGAAAATACTAAGATTAGTCACTTAAAGTGATAGCCCACCTCAACTTCAAGCTGCACAATTGCTGAGGGACAAGTTACATGTGAGTATAAGTTACATGTGAGTATATTTTGCAATGCATCCCTAATATAGGGAAGCTCCGATCAATCGGCCGGAAATCGGTATCGGCCGATTTATGACTCGTATGACTCGATCGGTATTCACCAACTTGGCCGATCTCAGGAACCGATCGCAATTTGATGAGTGACGACGTTGTCGACATACATGATGCATGAGTACATAAATGATTTGGCACCGCAGTCATGTCGTCGCTGGTGTGGAAATGCTATGACGAGGGATGCTCCGATCGATCGGCCGGAGATCGGTATCGGCCGATAATAATATTTTATGACTCGATCGGTATTCACCAACTTGGCCGATCTCAGGAACCGATCGCAATTTGATGACGTCAACGCGTGACGACGTACATGATGCGTGGGGACCTTTTTATACAGTCTATGGTGGGGACATAAATGATTTCGCGCCGCAGTCATGTCATCGCTCATGCAAGATGAAATGAAAATGACATCGAAAATTTTCTAAAGATAAGTCTTCCTTCAGAAATACAGTGATATAAAAACCTTGTTTTGATTTTTAAACGTGCAGTACGTGCTCATGTTTATTCAACCAAGCCTTTTGGAAAATCCGTCAGTTTTGATATTGTGGTGAGCGCCACAAATAAATAAATGTATGGGAAACACATCCCACAGCACAACCACCTGAGCCCAACTTCAGTCTACTCATCACCTTAACTTTAACTGCGTTTGTAGCCGGTGCCATAGCCAGACTGATAAACAAACACAGACCGGAAGTTAACTTGGGCCAGGCGCGTGCGCCCATTGAAACCGTCTATATAAAGCTTGAAGAATCAAAATCGGCATCGGTGTCAGCCGATCACAATGACAAGAAATCGGTACTCAGTATCGGCTGCAAAAATCCTGATCGGAGCATGTTAGTAATGTCTTCATTATTTAATGTTTGAATAAATCACGTTTTTATGACAGCCAACATTAAATTTTTATATTTCAACAACAAACTGGAGTGTAAACATAATTATATCATTAAATATAAAAACTGCCTTATGTGCAATGTAAAAGTTTTTGAGAGCTATAGTTTGGAGTCTGTTGTTAATTATAACCTTAAATTTGATTGTACCAACTGACAGGGTTCCCTGTATAGTTTACAGTTTTAGTTAAAAGACATTTGTTTCCTTAAAAAAATATACATGTAAATATACAAAATACAAAATATACAACCAAGAACTTGTGAATCAGAATCAGAATTTAATCAAATTTTCATTTTGGCCAAGAGTTAAGAAAGAGTGAAAACTCCTTTTAAAAGAACTAATCATCATTTTGTCAACTTGATGTCATTCTAAAACCACAAGAAATGTTTTATTTTATTCCAAAATATCTCTATCTAAAATGCAAAAAAAAAAAAAAGATCTGTAGTATGCTCTTGTTTATCTAGCTAGGTAAATGTGCGCGTTTGAAAAATGGGAAGGTTAGCACAGACTGACAATTAAAGATGGAAGAGGGGGCAGACCTATGGAAGCAGACACCGATCTGCCCAGAGAGCCTGGACCGCAGAGATAGAGAAGAGAGAACAACCACTCAATGAAGGTACGGTTTCACACACCCACAGAGAGGAGTGTGTGTGCTTGCATGTGCTTACCGGGCCGCGCAGGTCGATGAGTTCCTGTCTCATCTGTCCGATCAGGTTGTCTTTGGCCATGAGGGAGCAGTACAGCCTCTCGTTAAACTCTATCAGCTCTCCGTGCATCTCAGCCACCTAAAAAAACACACATTGACAAACTCGCATCAAACTCTCACCGAAATAGGCTGTTTAAAAAGCACTAGTGCTCGGCAGCTGTCGTGAAGCAGGTTGTATTATGTGACATTTCTTAAAGGCATGTGAATATGAGTTAGCTTGGTTTTGACTCTCAGGTGTGAAAGTGTTCAGCCAGTGAGCGTTAACTGCTCGTTACAGCGAGTCCCACACCTGCCCGGCGACTCGTCAGCTGTCACTTAGAGTAAGTGACACAGACATGGAGGCAGGCTCTGGTCTGCTATTCAGAACTTGCATTCATTTGTTTATGGAAATCATATGTCAGGGTATATTTGGGTTAGCGGCGTTTTGCCTGACAGACGCATCATGTCACTTTTTGACATGTTTGTCCTGGTTGCAAGGCCACACCTGGCCAGAAAAACAGACATGAATGAGTCAAAAAAATGATTAATGCAAAATCCTGACCTTAAAAGTGAATGTGAATGCCGTAAGACTGCAAATTCAAATGCATTTTTGGAAAAGGATGGACCCAAAAGAAAGAAAAAAAAGAAATATAAAGTAAATTTTGTGTTTTAGGATACTCTATTTACATATGTTAATGCAACCAAAATTAAATTAACATCAATTAACCGTCTTGATAAACCTGTACAGTGCATCCTAACCAGCTGCAAATGATGTTAAGTTGCATGTATATAAATGGGATTTTTTTTTTTGTCCTGACATTTTGTCAGTTGCTTGGTTTCTATTCTGACTCTCACTGGTCCATAATCCTGCTCCACATAACATTTGTTTCTATTTTTTTTGATAAAAGACAAATTATGTTGCATTAATGCTGTCTCCAAGTACACCAAGGATAGTATTTCATTATTAGTATTTGTTATTATGACATGTATTGCATTCAAGTTGAAAAAATAATGCACAATTTCTATATCATTTTTTAAATATTTTTTCTTAAATCTCTAATTTAAGCATGGTATTTTTCACAAACATTTATTTTGCATATTTTATACATTTTTATTTTTTACAATTTATAATAGTTGTTAGAATTTTCATTTCTAGTACTTATTTATGCATGGCATCTAACAAATACATTAATTTAGCATGTTTTATATTTTACTTTTGTTTTTATTGCATTTTAATTTCTCCCTTATGTATGCAGTACTAAACAAAAACTTTTTACATATTGTATATTTTATACAAACAGGGTTTTATACATTTTTTTAAACATTTTAATTTCTAACCTCTTATGCATGGTATCTTACAAAATATTTATTTAGCATATTTTACATTTTATATTTATATTTTACATGTATTTAATGCCTTTAAGCAAACGGTGAAAGTGGGTGATTATTAACTTTACATTTGTTGTGTGTTCATCAGTACATACAGTAGTTCCATAGTACCAAGTTCTAAGCAGCATTACTTCACACTAAAAATACATCACATTGCACCTGATGCAGACATGGTGCTTAGGCATTCCAAAAAATTTTTTAATTTCAAACAGCGCTGAACGAGTGGGTAGCAGTCTCAAAGAATCTCACAAAGCAGTTTGAACTCCAGAAATAGCTTCAAAACTTTTGTAATTGATTGTCAGACACGGTCCTCTATCTGGCTACTTCACTACCTAATGTTGTGCTTTATATAGCACCTAGCTGTTTCACAGCATAAAATCAATTTCTTCAAGTCTTTTTTTAGTAGCTTGTGTGACAACTTCAAAAACAGTGACCCTTTCAACATGTTAAAAGAACGTCAAGCTTCAAAACACATATTTTACAAGAGAACTATAAACATCTCTTGTCATGAAAGCGATTGCGGGTACTGAAACACAAGCACGTACAACAATCAAGCAAGTGCAAACATACACAACACCATGCCATGCCAAAAGAGTGATTAACCATCAAGCTGGATACAAACAGGGGAAATTACGCCACTTCTGCCATATTTACACACCCAGAACGATACACACCCTGTGAGACCATCCACTGTTTCCAGTTTCATTCATCTCGCCGCGGCTCCGCATGGCACACCGCTCGTAGTATTCTCATTCATCACATTTATTTATCTGTGGCCCAGCTTTCGAACAGGACATTAAAAAATGGAAATTAATTTTAAGCGTCAAGGAACCCAATTAATTCTCTGCTAGGAAGCGAGCTAATCAGTTTGTTGTTCAGTAAGCAATAAGCTGGCTGCGTCCTTCCAGCTCGCTGGCTGAATTTTCCGACCTGCCATGCCGGGTGTTAGCACTTTGGATTTATCTAAACAGGCGACAGGTTCACGCATTTCAGACAAGGTATCAAACCTCATTACTGGGCCTTAGCAGGAATCCGAGTGTGTGACTGTATCTGTATTTGCTCATTGTAATTACGGGCCGCCCTAGTGCTCCAGTGCAGATATCAAGAGCACTGTATTCCACAATTATCCCTAGTCATTATTTCCATGAAGGAAAGGAAAACAATTGTGCAGAACACAAACACCACACAAGCTCAGCATCACTGAAATAAGCCAAGGTGAAACTGAATAAATGTCAAGAAGGATGAAACGCATGTGTGTGTTTTCATAACACGCTCATAAGCAGTATCCCAAATAGATGGGAGCATATTAATGAGAGGAGAGTTAGAGGTGTTGATTTTTCATTTTTTAGATGCACAACGAGAGAGAAGGATATATTTTGAGACTGATGTGTTTGCCAGTTGCTTTTGCCTTTGAATAAAATAAACTTCAAATGATTAAAATGGATTTAAATGGATTTAAACCACCAACAAAATGAATACAAAATGAAAAGGACAAGTTCTGATTCCTTTTAATGATTCCATTAACGATTCTTTTATAGGCAACATAAATGCAATATATGCCTTAAAAGCAATCCAATATATATATATATATATATATATATATATATATATATATAATTGATCTTCAGTAAAACTGACTTTTATTAAATTTGCTGAACAGTTACCAACAATAATACAACGTAGCTCTGTGAGTAGCACTGTTTCCTTACAGCACGTAGGTCCCTGGTTTCAGTCACTGACCTGTAAATTACATATTTAAAAAAAAAAAAAAAAAAAATTT